CTTCCCACTGTCACCAAGTGCTTGCTCATAGGGGGTCGTCTGATTGTTGGGGGTTTTCCCTCCATTATTGTAGGGCCTTTTCCTTACAGTATAAAGCACCTTGAGGGGACCGTTGTTCTGATTTGGAGCTGTGTCTACAAATCGGGCAAGTAGACTGAAGAATCCAGCAACAGCATGAACCTCTTTTGGCAAATCCATCGCAATGTTCAGGGATTTATGGGTTATTAACTTGTTAGTTGAACGTCCAGTAAATGCTGAAATGTTTCCGATTTCCTTTTGATGTAAGTATTTTCTGGCAACCACGTCCCCCAAACTCCGTAGAGGGATTATGGGAGTACGAGGTGCTTTTGATCCTTGCTGACAATATTACAGCCAAGAAGCACCAAAGCAAACTGGACTCCATGAATATCATTAAGGGTTTTATGCTTTTATGCTCTCCGAAAACGAAATGGGGACAAAAAGACTAATTGCCTTATTCCTGAAATAAACCAACACTTGGGCTTTTCAAACTTTTAGCCAGTCGATCTGCCAAAGCACTTCCTGGGAATTCCCCAAACCATTAAATATAGTACAGTAGATGAAATAAGAGCGCTTATGTAACAAATTTTTATTTATTCATTATAGTCTGTTTCTTTCATTGAGATCTGGTATTTGGGGAATTTGTGAGAAATTCAGCTGTTCTTATGATCAGTTATAACAGGACTTTTACATCAGTATTGAATACCGGAGATGCCACAATCGAGCAGGATGGCTTGGTTAACAAACCAAAGATTTAGCCATTGGTGTAGATGTTAATACACTAAACTTTCTTTTGGCTCATCCCTCAGTTCCCAAGAGGCAAAGATTTTACATCTTCCTGACGCGCCCATTGCTTCTTACCCCCAAACCTTGAACCCTACTTGAGGTTGGTTGGTGTCTCCTACTGGAGTCAAACTGCGGATTTCTTAAACGCAAATGTTAACCACTACACAACAAAGCCCTTATTAGACAGTATTTAGAAAAAAAAAGTCAACACCAAATATTATGGATGGGAAGTTAATTTTATTTAATTTTATTCTAAATTCTGTTGTTGGCTTTGATCCATTATCAAAACAGTAATTCTGTTTCCTGCATGACACTGTTGTTGTGTCTTGCTTTTATAAAATTCTGAGTGGTTGACCTTGCAGGAAAGACTATTTGGGTCAACAAGATCAATTTAGAAGAAGTACAACATGCATAAACGCTCATTCGCTTTTCCCATTGATTATGTAAAATTTTCCAGGTTGGTTCTGCCTGGACCACCCAAGTCTGCACCAAACAGACTTTTAGTGGTAAAACCTGCATCTGCCCTTGAAAGATGGCCTTTGCGGCTTTTAATTAAAAAAAAGAAAAAAAGAAAAAGAAAAAAGTCAAAAGTCACCTTCAATCCCTAGTTAATAAAGTCAAAAAAAGAAAAAACAATCTCAAACATGGTGTAGAATGTGCAGGCCCCCTGCTGTTTCAGTTCTGACTGACGATGTTCTGCTCTCAAGGTCCCTCCACCTTGAGAGCAGAACATCAGTGTCAGCGACCTATCAGTCTGGACATTGACTGGACCATTACAACACCTTCATTCTTTTGATTTTAAGCCATTCTGTTACAGGTTTTCTGCTGTGCTTTAGCTGTCAGACAGATGGCCTCACATTTGAACCTAGAATATTTTGGTATTCTAGCAGTCAAAGGAGCTTGCAAAGAAAAGCGTCTGGACTTCTTTAAGTTGCTTGAAGACGTTTCACCTCTCATCCGAGAAGCTTCTTCAGTTCTAAGGTCAAATGGTGGAGAGTCCCAGATATAAACCTAGCGGGAGTTTCCCCCCACAGAGGCACAAAAGGACCCCCTGATGATCCTCTAATCACCTGAGCCAAGGTGTGAAACTGGGTGTGGGTCCCAATCAGCCAGAGTTTCGGGTGTGTTCATTGTGAAACCTGGCCCCACCTTGTCATGCGAATTCCTGAGGTCAGATGGCCCAGGATGTGAGTGGGCGTTAAGGCGTCTGGGAAGGGATCTCAAAACTGGATTATAGATGGCAGAGAGTTGGTGTCGTAAACCACCGCCTCTGTTCAAAGATGGTCGCTCACAGTGGACATAGATGGCTTTTCACTCCTCTTTCAAATCTGTCCTCTCTGTCCAAAATGTGAACATTGGCATCCTCGAAAGAGTGTCCTTTATCCTTAAGATGCAGATGGACTGCTGAGTCTTGTCCTGTGGAGGTGGCTCTTCTGTGTTGTGCCATGCGCTTGTGAAGTGGCTGTTTGGTCTCTCCAATGTAGAGGTCTGAACATTCCTCGCTGCACTGTACAGCATACACCACATTGTTAAGTTAGTGTTTTGTCTTTCGGGTGAACCAGTTTCTGTCTGAGTGTGTTTGCTGGGTCTGAAATACACTGGGATGTCATGCTTGGAGAAAACTCTCCTGAGTTTTTCTGATACACCGGCTACATAGGGGATGACAATGTTGTTGCGTCTGTCCTTCTTATCCTCCCTCGCTGGTGTCTGGTCTTCTTTTCTGTGCCTCTTTGCTGACTTTAAGAACGCCCATTTAGGATAGCCGCACGTTTTGAGTGCTTCCTTTACATGTGTGTGTTCCTTCTTTTTTCCTTCAGGTGGGGGTCACTCCCACTAGGTTTATATCTGGGACTCTCCACCATTTGACCTTAGAACTGAAGAAGCTTCTCGGATGAGAGGGGAAACGTCTTCAAGCAACTTAAAGAAGTCCAGACGCTTTTCTTTGCAAGCTCCTTTGACTACGATGACCTGGATGACTGAGAACCTTCACAGACCTATTCTAGCAGTTCATGGTCAAGTCGATGACTTCGAGGTGCCCGGGTCCAGTGTGGACTTGTGTGCACCAAATGTGGTGCTGTGCATCATGGCCAAACACCTACACTTTGGTCTCGTCCATCCAAAGAACATTATTCCAAAATTCTTGTGGTTTGTTCAGATGCAGCTTTATAAACTGGTAGCAATGCTGTCATGTTCTTTTGAGAGAGAAGCAGCTGTGGAACTGTTTCCGTGAGCACTGCACGATCTTTGGGGTGAATTTGATGGGACGTCCACTCCCGGAAGCATCGACCAGTAGAAGGATGAACTTTGGATTGTTTGGAAATTGCCTTATAACCTTTTATTATGATGCTTCTCTAAGATCACTGATGACTTTTTTCCTTCTTGGCACTTTGTTAAAACAAACCTGAATTCTCCAGAGCTGCAAACTGTAGTAATGGTGTGCGTACTATAGTACATCCTTCTGCACTTTGGCTTCTGCATTTTGATTTGCTTCTACATTTTGATTTGCTTCTACATTTTGATTTGCTTCTACATTTTGATTTGCTTCTACATTTTGGCTTAATTTTTGTTAAATAAATAAATAAAAGTGTCATATGTCATGTTTGTAGTTCTACTGAAGATTTATTCACCTCATTTTAAGAGCTTCTGAGCGTAAGATGAGTTTTTATTATTATTTACTGATATGTATATATACTTACCATGACTTCAGCTATGTATATTAAGGATGAAACAAAGAAACCAATTCCATGACTAACTGCATGACACAGATAACCTTCCCAGCATGCCAGCTATATCTAAATACAACATGAAGTGAAATTCAAACACAGCGAGAGCAGGATGGAAATAGAGAAGGGAAAGATGGATAGACAGAGAGACCACCCACCACGCCAGTAATTGATTGCTGTGTCAACTGCGTTTGACATCACTGCTCTTTAGAAGCAGGATCAGAGCATCGTGCACATGTACCCAGGCACACTAACAGAATACCCAGGGGTACACGGAGCAGGACAGGCATGACTAATCAATCCTCTTCGCAGCAGGAGTCGACAGGCTGATGAGGGGATTAAAGAGCTACCCCCCTTAAGACTCAAGATTCATCTCTAGCAGCACTGTTACACATCCACACCTCATGAAATCATACATGAGAAACATGCACATGGCTTCTTACTGTTACTTCCCCCAACTACTCCTTTAAGAAAAATTAGCCAACCACAGCCAAGGAGATGCGCACACACCTTCCTGAGAGTGCGTTTGTCGAGAGTAGGAACATTTAAAGTTTGCTGATAAGGTGAAAATTGAGAAAGAGACAGTCATTATTGGTTTTATGCAAAAATCAATAAGCCAACAGACAGAGCCCCACATCTGCTGTGTCACAATTTAAACTGTTTACGAAAAAAACAAAGCATCATAGCTCAGAACACGTCCAAAAGCAATTCAAATCCATCATAGGAACTGAAGCTGTAATTAAAAAACAGCCAACAAGATCACTCAACGAGAAGAGGATTTAGACAGTGAAACGCTTAAAATAACTAATAAATTGCTGATTGTTTTAGCAGCACATCAGGGTGGCATTTCCCAGCTTTACTCACAGCAGAGCAGAACGGGGCGTTTCACCTTTTTCTTCTCTAAACCAATGTGATGGAAAGAAATCCTGATCCCAGGCGCACACAATGCTACAAGCAGAAAGAAGTCCCAGTCTTCCCAGTAAAGAGGCTGTTATTACAAATAAATTAAATTACTTGAGGAACTTAAATAAGACCTATGTTCATTTCAATATTTTTACCTTTCATCTCTAACAGTGTTTGCATGAGTTACACTAAAAAAAATGATTTGTCTTTATTCGTCCCTCGCTCTCCTGCTTTTTGCAAACATTCTTCTGATTGGCTGACCTTGGCAAACAGAAGGTAGGTGGGGCTTCTCCACTCAAGGACAGACCCATGTGCTGGAGATGATACACACTCTCTGACATCACACAGAGCAGAGAACAGAAAAGCACTTGGTACCCGAAAGCTTTTTATGGACAAGCACAAACATTTCTGCAGTGTAACAATAATGGAAACCACAATAGGACCACTCTAAAAAGATTATTTAATGTTTTCTTCTCATTACTGATTTGGTCCTTTCATTCATTTGAAACATTATACGAGATGAGACATAGTGTGGCAACAAAGAAGAAGAACACTGTGGAAAACACTCACGGATCTCAGAGACCTTCACAGTCACAGGGTTGGATGTCTTCTCCGCTGTCATGTACCACCTCCGTCCTTCTATATTGATGAACGTTCGGATGCGGCAGGTGTAGTTCCCTCCGTTTTCAATGGTCACCCCCCTCACCCCCAACCTGTAGTCGCCGGTTTCTGTTCGCTCCAGGCTCGCCTCCCCCTTTTTTCCTTGCGCTCCGCTGGAGGATGTGTTTGAGATCACCACCCCGCTGCGATCCATGGTGATGATTTCACGGCCGTCGGCCAGCCAGGACACTTCCAGGGAGAGGGCGGGCAGGTTGTCGGTGGTGACGCCGCACATCAGGGTCAGCGAGTTGCCAGGAGAGAGGACGAGAGAGGTGGAGGAGGGAGAGGAGGAGGGTGAGGCCTTCACGTTGAGGGAACGACCTTGAGAGGACAGACATGGCGTCAGTCAATGAATCCTAAGAAAACACTGCATGAAGACAATAAAATGCTTCAAGTCTCTGTCCTCGCACTGACCCAACCCACCAAAAAACACATCTCATGACTCTTTTTATGAATTGAGACTTCATGTACTGAAGCATAATGAGCATTTTCATGTTAACAATTAGTCAGAGAAAACAGGAAAAGGCACAGATTCTGTCAAATGAGGTGTTTCCTACACCCACACATCTACTCAGGTAGCATTGTTTTTTCATAGATCAACGATGCGATTGATCGATTAGTTTTCCTCCAACAGCTGGATGACTAATTTGTGAAGATCGGCTTTCATGTGTCACTACACTGAGCTCGCCGATGCTGCAGGGCAGAACAACCGTCTGCAACTGCACGTCAAGGTGGTAATGTGAGCCGGGGCAACTCGCAGGAGAGGCAGCTAATTAATGCGCAGTTATTTCTTTAAAGAGTACGCATAGTATTATTCCTTTAAGTAAACAAGGTGCTCATGCCTGCATGCCCACCAATCAAACTGTGGGAAACACTTCCTTTATGTACACAAACCAGCTGGGCGGTGACAGCACACGTAAGCACAAAGTCCCATTCAAAGCCAAAAACACTACACCTGTGACTCATTTAGCACGACAGATATATGAATAAGCAAATTGGCCAACTGGCTGATTCTAATCTTACCGAAAGCGGGAAGTGCTATTATAGTTCGGGATAAAACAGGATGTAACAGCACAGTCTGTACATCCTCGTCATATCAGTCATGAGATAACAAAAAAACATTTAGAGCAGTGCATGGGTGTATGCAATTGCTCCTACAGCATTGTTACGCAGAGGTGCTCAAGAAACCTTCCTGCAGGTCTCTCTACTAATAAAAAAAAAAAAAAAAAGGGGGGGGGGGGTTTAGCCAATTACAAATGGCTGTCAGCCTACTTCTCCTTCTCCTTTTTCTAGAAAATGTATCTTTAAACCCAAAGATTGGATCGGGCTTGTAAATATCATCTCCAGTGACAACATAAACAGCAGTATGGGGGAGAGAAAAAAGTCTGTATGGTGTCTGGAAACGGACAAAAGAGACAAAGCTCACTCTGTTTGACTTTTCTCATCCTCTTTACTCAAGTCAGTAAGTCAATATAAAGAGACTGGGACACAATGGACCTGAGACCGAGACCTGTTTGTGTGTCTGTGTGCGTGTGTGTGCACTGCTCATCACTGGTTTCATTACAAACCCCTTAAGAGGATATGGTAACCTGGAAAGATATAAGATATGGTGACCAGAGCAACCACACAGATGAGCGTGAGAGACAGACAGAGAAAGTGTGTGTGTCTGAGTGTGTGTCTGTGCACATAGGGGCCTCTATGGTCAGCCAATGAGGGTCGTGAACCTCCTGGGAGAGAGCGAGGCAGGCAGAGAGAATGAAAAGACGAGCGGTTCACAGAGGAGGAGATTCCTTTAAAATGAAGACAGCCACACAACAGAGGCAGAACTCTCCCATGTCCCCTCCCTCCCCGCCCCTCTCATCCTTGACTTTCTTCCAATTTCACTCCGGGCATTGTCGCAAGCTGCTTGCACACAGGGAATCGTGGGGATCCTCTCTACACTTTGCTGAGCATTGTGTCCCGAGACGACCGCTGCTGCAAACTGCCGTTAAACATCCAACAGCAGCTCACAGATCTGCACATTAAGTATGCATATACTAAATATCTTTTATCCCAAATCAGGAAGCAGATTTGAGGATTATGTACTGATCCCTCCCCTGCTGGGGATGTGCAGAGAACCTGTGCGCGCAGACTCACGTGGAAGCGGCGCACTGCACTGCTACTGATGACCCTCGGCTTTTTTTCAAAGGATCTTTTGAAGCCTGAATAACCACCGGCCAGCTTCCTTTTCAATTATCCCAGAAAAGATATTTAAATTTTGTCCAAGGGAAGGACAAACGCACGAAGCTGAGGCCGGGCAGCAAATCACTAACCGCTGTGGCTGAAAAAAGGAGACCAAAAAAAAAAGGAGTTGAGTAAGTAATAAGTAAGCAGATTTAGTGTTAAGAATCATTCACTTCAATCATTTCACCTCAGAAACAGCTCAGAGTTGCGAGGACTGTTAAAAAAATTAGTTGCCCATAATTGGTTGATAAACCTGAATAGACTTCACACAGCTCAGTGTATAAAGCCCCATAATGCGTTTATATCACAGGCGTCAAACATAAGGCCCGGGGGCCAAAATTGGTCCCTGGAGCAAAGACTTCAATCCGGCCACTGGAGCACTTTGGATAAATTTCAGACTTTATCAACGGGAAAAGCTTTAAAACAAGTAAAGAGCTCCTCCATGCCCACTCATTCATTCTTATTAAACCAGTAATAAACAGTTCAATAACAGCGATGAGCTGTCAGAGCTGCATCTTTAACGTTACACATTTATTTCTCATAATTTATAGCCAAAGAGTTGTGGCGACAGATTTCTTTAATTTGGTTTCTGGGTCAGTCCACTCAAAGTCAAAGTGAGCTGTATGTGGCCCACAGTGTTTGGCATCCCTGATTTATTTATTGATTATATCGTTCCATCTGAACAGTAGTAGTCCCCACCACTTGGATAAAAATCAAGTTCCCATTTAAAGGTTTAATGTTCGGTTCTTTAAAGACTGCATGAAGAAATCTGATAAACTGTTCACTTGTGTGGCCCTCTTTTAATTAACTGCTACTCTCCGACAGCTGTTCGATATAACGATATATATCGGATAACGATATAAAAACGTCTATTGTTTCATTTTACGCTATCGTTTGTTTCGTGGTGTCGCAAAAATAAACTGTTTACGGCAACATTTTTTCATCATTTTGACGGTCACTGTAGTGGCTATATTCATTCCTTAAAGTTCTCTCTTTCTCTTATATGTAATAAAACCACACTACAGACGGACAAGCGCCTGTTTTTATGCGTTGTCGTTAGCAACAAGGACGGTAAAACCATTGCGTGTCCGCTTGCTTATTTCCCACATAAACCTTTCACAATAAAGCTCAAGATCCTGTTGAGACTTTTCAAAATAAACTGAATCACATGAAAGAGTATGCAGAGTATTTACGGATAAGAATTAAAAAAGAGCCGTCAGGTGCTAAAAAAATAAACCTTAGACTCAAACGTTAGAACGGGCTTTTCCCCGCAGCACGCCGTGTAATAAATACTCACAAAGAAAACGGCGGCTGTTACAACTTATGTCTAAAAATGTATCGTTTCATTCATCGGTTAAAACACTCGACTCCAGCTACATGACAAACACTTCACGCAAGACGAGCTGCCCGAGATTCACAGCACTTACAGAAAATGTTACATTTTTGTGATTTATATCGTTATTGGACGACAGAATTCTTATATCGGGATATGAGATTTTGGTCACATCGCACAGCCCTAGGCATGATTCTATAGTTTTTCGGTAATGTGAATTAAAGCAGACCACGCAGGTCAGAGTCACAAGTCTGTGTCAACAGCAATAAGCTCGAGCATTAGTGCGGTATGCCTGGGTCGCATGCAAGCTGCCTGTGTGTGTGGACTGCTGGAGACAAAGAAATGCATGTTGTCCAGAAACATCTTATTTTGAAGTCTTTAAACATGTAGAAATATATGTTACTGTATCTCATTAGTTAAGCCTCTTCTTGTTTTCACTGCTGCCACAGAAGATCATCTGCCTCCATCTCCAACTATCCCTTGTGGTCCCATCCAAACTATTCAACCTGCCTCCTCCAGCTTCACCACCTGTCCTTTATTTCAGTTGCACCATCTCACCTGCATCTTTTAAACCTTCGCTCTTGCATCTGATATTGATAAGCATCATATCTGTCTGAATAAACCTCTCTGTTAAAATTAGCGTTCACTTGATCTATCACTCCTCAACATTATGCAATCCCAGTCGAGCCAACATTGTCACATCCTGGCTCCAAAGTCAGAGAGATGCAGACTGAAGCCAGGAATGATTAAATGTGACAAAATTATGAAAGTAAGAAAAACAAAAAAGAGAAAACCACGAAGTGTGAACGTCGGTATTATTAGCAGTGAGGGTGTATGGATGGATGCGTGAACAGTGTAGTGGGAAATACTGAGAGGCACACAGCAATGACGAAGCTGAAGACACGCTCTCAAAGGTCTGAGGAAGGGTGTGGTTTACATCTTAGAAGCACAGCCTGGCTTTTCTGTGACTTTTGGCCGGGTTAGGAGACAATCCACCAGAGCGAGGCTGCAGGCCCTGAATGCGTCAGCCCCGAGGTTCAGCTGTTAGCGATCCTGAGTCACATTTACAACCTCAGCCTGAAACAGGGGAACACATCGGTTTTATGGAAACCGTCCCGTCTGGTTCCTGTACCATCACAGCTTAACGGTTATTAACTAATTGCCTTCACATCACATGTGACGGAGGTGACGCCGAGACCAGTCTTGACCTGCTGCAGTTTGCATACAGACTGAATGTGAGACACTACATGCTGCAGACAGCTGCACGGTGAGGATCGCCTCCTTTGATTCCTCGAGAGCGTTTAGAGAGAGAAGCTACAGGAAATGTCAGTAAACACACATCCACCATCTCCACAGTCCCGTGCATTACTCTGTGCAGCACTGGAGCTCCACAGGGAACTGCGCTGTCTCCCTTTGTGCCCACCTCACATGAGCCACCCACAAACACAATGCCGCGCACCATCTGATCAGCCAATCAGACTAAATGAAGTAATAAGGAAGGCCGTCTCTGTCTGTGAGAGGAGGTCAGCGAACAATCGTGTAAAATCCTGACCGCCCTCTTCACCACTTACTGCACAGGCAGCAGAGCATCTTCTCTAACAGAGTGATTCAGCTCCACTGGCAGAAGGACAGATACAGGACATCTTTCATAACACATTTCAAAGTCTGTTTATTTATACAGCACCAAAGCACAACAACAGTCGCCTCAAGGCAGTTTATAATGTAAGAAAAAGACCAATAAGACAGAAAACCCCAACTGTGAGCAAGCACTTGACAACAGTGGGAAGGAAAAACTCCCTTTTAACAGGAAGTGACCTCCTTCAGAACCAGGCTCAGCTAGGGGCAGCATGCATCCACTACAGTGAAATGCAATGCATCTGTCTGGCAAAAGCATGTTTTAGGGTTTTTTTCTATAGTTAGTTTAACCAAAACAGTGAAACTCTTACCTGTAGGAGTAACTGCAACAGTTCCCATCTCTTTGGTACTCTCCACGATTTTTATCCAATTTCCTCCACTTTCGTGCGTCCACTCCGTCCCGTTGCATTCATAATTCCCCTCATCGGACGTCGTCATTCTGGAAATCACCAGTTCAAACACTCCATTCCTGCCAGGGACCAATCGGATGCCTCCTTCTGCATAACGCCGGGCAAACCTGGACCCCGTGACCACATCCCCCTGAGGACCAAACGTCAAAATCTCCTCTGACGTCGTCCCCTTCTTCACCGACCAGGTGACAGACAGGTAGGTGGGGTGGATGAGCTCCCGGGTGACGTTGCAGGAGAGAGTTAGGTCACTTCCCTCTGAGATGACTGGGGGTGGGGTCTTGGGGGAGACCTTGAGGGTGTTGGGAATGACTGACGGGAAAACAAACCAAAAGAAAATGTTTTGAGTGAATTAATCACACAGCAACAAACTGGGAGGTGCTGGAAATTATCCACACATGCTGCCCCCCCCAACACACACACACACACACACATACACACACCATTTATCACAAGGAAATATAGGATGTATATTTAGAATTAACTTTCTGTTAAATATTTTTCACCCACATCTTTTTTTATATTTCACATCTTCTGCTCTGGCTGCCAGGATACGTTCAAGAACCCTAACAGATGTTTTTTCCTTTTTCAAACCACAGTTGAGTGTTTCCAGATTACATTTAAGGAAATGCAAGCCCTATTTTCATCAATGCGCTCCCCGGTTTACCTGCAAGTGTCAAAAACCTGCTTGAACACAACAACCCAATAAAACTTGGACTACAACCAGACAGAACAAACAGAAACCAGAAAGCTTTGTGCACCAATCATCTTTCCCTTTGCCTACAGATTCATAAACAGATACACGATTCCTCATACGGCAGCTAATCGGCAGCATATCTGCATTTTCCTTCACTTGTCTTCATCGTCTATCACTTGAGGCCTATTTGTGTGTCGCTGTGAGCGAAAAGGTCTTGTTTACTTCGAGGATCTGTTTAAACTAATTCCCAGGTTTAAAAAGCAGCGTATTTGAGCGGGAAATTGTAGGTAAAACGATGACATAATAGCTCAAGGCAAGCAAAGGCTTTTCCCTGTTGTCTGATATTAGACGGTTTGCAGGTGCATATGATAAAAAATGAACAATTCAACATTTAGCATCTATTTATTGGGTGGAGTGACAGAATCTTAATCTTACTTCAGTGTCACACCTTTGTTTACCACACCTCAAAGCGGCCCGTCTGTCAGGTCATCCGGCTTAAACTCAAAGGCAAAAGCAGGGCTAGTGTAAACTCCTAGTGATTCATGTAATCCAACATAATATTTCGCATACACTCGTGCCAAGGTCATTGGTTGAAGGACAAACAAACAGACGCAGATAAAGCTGCAAAAAAAAACCTCAACACGCCCAGAGGAGTGCTTCTGAAGGTCACCGTCTTAACCAAGTAAACTCTCAACACTCTCACGCAACCACTTTCACCTCCACTCTTTCATCTCAGGCTCGTTTACGTATTAAAAATGAAACTAAACGTGTCATCCAGAAGGTCTTTACAGAGCAGCTTTCACCGCTCATTCCTTTCTTGTTATGACACACGAAGGAGGATGATGAGTCACTGCTGGAGAGAAAAAAATAAAATAAAGTGAAAGGCCTATAACTCCTGGGTTTCCTGATGGGAGCATGGCTTTGCTTTTAAATGCATGCACGGCGAGAGCTATGAAAATAAGTTTTTACCTCTGCTCCTCGCAACGGGAAGAGTGCGGGGAAAAGACAGATGCTGAGATGCAGTGAAGACACGGGGGGTTAATAACAAAGCTGAGAGGCAATATCAGGGTGGGGTTGGCGTGTCTGCGAAGCAAAAATTACAGGCTCTGTTTTATCATCGCAATCAAGTCATTTGAATTTTGTATATTAAAAAAAAGAGAAAAAAAAGAAAGAAATCTGTGCTCTGTGTATGTTTGTGTGCACACATTACCATTCCTCACACTTTAAAGCAACAGTAGCTCCAAACCCTGAGATTTATCACTGAAATGCTTTAGATAAATGATGAACTGTGTATTTTGGAAGGCAGCTCTAGTCGCGTTACAAATGAATCCAAGAAGCGGCAGATGGCCGGGAATGAGAAGTACGTGGCTATGCATTATGGGAATTAGAGAAATGCCACGTTTACATCCTGTGGGAAAGACTGCTTTGTAAGCAGTTAGGAATAAAAAGTTCGCTCCAACTTCAGACGCAAACTTAAAAACAACGGATCAACACGTCCGGGTGTAGACAACGATGCACAGCGCTGCTTCAACCGTCTATTGTTGAAAATGTCCCGGCTCTTTATTAAAATTCGATCGCTTTCCAATGAATAAATCATTAACATTAATTACTACTGTGCACTTACAAGTGTTGTAGCAGGTTTGACTGTCTTCGTGAATACTGTTCTGTGCGATTAACGCTGGCGTTGATATAAATTGACATGGCATTGCAATATTTTGCGTCGTGATATTGTTATTATCTATGTAAATTAAAATATTCTGGGAATACCGTGAAGAAGAGGGCTCCTCTCATGCACCAACATCCTGAGGTAACGTTAGCCGAGCAAACTTACATTAATGAAACCAAACTGACAGACCATCCAAGGCTGGAGGCTAATGGCTCAGTCACACGAGTAGAAATATGACAGCCAACTCCTTACAGCTACCATCAACTACAAAATAAATACTAGTCTGCCTGGTTATTTGGTTTTGATTTTTGTTCACCATTCTTGCAACTTGTGCTGACTAAATGGTTGCCCAAAGCTGGAGGTAAAAGGCAACCTTTCTGCAAACAGTTGCAGTCTGACTTGGACTGACTCCAATCAGTCTCAGAGAGATTGTTGAAGGTTTGTTTAAAAACAAAAAGTTGCCATCGGTGTTAATGAGGCTTTCTGAATGAGCACAACTCAAGGGGATTCAACTCAGCTGCCTGTATTCTGATTATATTCCTATAGAAGACCAGAAGGATGCGGAGCACAACTGTAATAGTCCAATGTGAATTTCTTTCTATCACATAGCTGTTGCTGTCAGCTATGTGATTTTTTACAGTTAATGTCTGCATTATCAGAAGCAGAGTGCTTTTAACTGCCAACTTGACTCCATTCAATCAGACTGATATCAGACTGACTGTCTTATAGTAACATTTATAGCAGGTTTTAGTGACAGTGATCGTATGCTCAAAATTTCATTTTGCATCAAAAAGATAACTGATGTACCTGTTTTATCCAATAAAATTAAGTTATTGACTAAGTCTGAGGACTTAATCTGCAGTTGGAAAAAGGCAATTTTAGTCACAATATGTTACTGCAATACTCAAAATTTAAGAAAACCAATAAATTTATATTGTGATAATTCGAGATGGCACGATACCACTTTTTTATGTCCGATACCGATACGATATCATAAATTTGGATATCTGCCGATACCGATATGAATCCAATATAGTGTATTTTTTAATCAATAAAACAGTTTTTTTAATATCTTGCTGCTTTTTGTATAAGTTCATACTCAAGTTAAAAAACAAACAAACACTAAAGCTATTCTGTTATACCTGTATGCAAAAAATGCACTGCACCCAAAATATTTCATAGTTCAGCAATACTGATCAATCTAATAAACTTAAACCTGCACCATCCTCCCTATTCTGGTATTTTAAAGAGTAATTAGCAGAAACATTAAGCAACCTAACTAATAGGGTTCTAAAACTCCCAGCAAAAAAATAGGGAACCACCCACCCTCCACCTCATGATGCTTAATTGATGTAATCAACTATAATTTGATGCAGTGTGAAAAAAAAAAAAATACACAGAAATCAGTTATTTTTCAAGAATAATTAAATAGATTCAACATCTTTCTTCAACAGAATTGCAGACTGAACAAATGGTATCTTCCCAAAGGAAAAAGTACTACAGCTTACTAGGGTATATTGGACTTAATAGTTACTACATACAGTAATGGACTTCTATACATTTTACATCAGATTAAAACTTTGGGTGTAAGATTCGGATAATTATTTATTAAAAGCTAGACATTTTAAATGAGAATAAGAAAGAAAAGTATGTCTTTGTGCTTTACTTCTCTCTGGGATCACTTCCTCGGAGATGAAATGCCGGATTGCTAGCGAGGCTACAAATACACACAGCCGCTCTATCACGTGACCCATACTGCTGCGATGTGCTACGGTTATGAGCCGAGTTACACCATGTCGCAAGTTTTGTGAGGTGCTTTTTTGATCTTTAATGGATCGATTACATATATTTTATTTTTCTCCAATATCCGATCCAGTAACTTATGTCAGTATCGGACCGATACCGATATGTAATATCGGATCGGTCCATCTCTAGTGATAATATCGTATCATGAGGTTTCCCACCTCTAATAAACATGTTCACTGGAAGGTGTGAGCAAACACATGAAAATGGACAGAACCTGTTGAGAGGTAACAATATGATGTTATCCATGTTCAGAAGAATTTGTGTACCTTTTTTTTTTTTTTGCCTGATTTCAATTCCTGTCATGTATGAGTCTGTACACATTTTAAACTCGGGGCAGACGTCCGCACAAGTATTGATGGAAGAGAGCAGGATATGAAGTGAATATTTAAGTGAAGGACATACCAACACCTGCATGTATAACATAAGTAAATCAAAATAGATCTATAGCAGAGGTTTGGGATTCTAGTCTAGTAATTATCACATTTCAGCTTGTATGTGCATGAAATACACTCAGATGATTGTTTCTAAAGGTTCATTACATATTTCTTGACAGTGTCTAGAAAAGTTGTCCTGTAAGTTGTCCTCTCTCACAGTTGCACACAACGGGAGATTTTCTTGAGCAGCCATGCAGGAGACGGGACATAACTTCCACTCGCTTGGTGTGAATCCTTTGGACAGCTACCTGGTGTATATCCTCACACGGGCACGCTCGAACATCGCAGGACCCATTCCAGACGAGCTGGATAAAAGACTCAAAGTCTTTTCTGTGAACTGCTACATAGACATACGACCTCTGTAGTCTAAATGTCACTCTTTATCTATCGATCAGCTCAACACAAACCAGGCTGTCAAATTAAAACATGACGATCAGGCTACAACATGCTGCTGATAGTGACGAATACAGCAGATATGCATGGGTGTTGCTGGTGCTTTGTTGATTCGGCATCAACAGAACTCCTCCTCTCGTGCTTTGGTTCTTTGTATGATTTTGGGTGATTTGCATCATGATGTCTCTGTTCGTTTAACAACATTCTATCCATAGGAAAAACTTTGCTTATTGCAGGATTTAAAGCACTTATTTGAATCCTTGAGGCATTCTTAAACCGTGGACATAAACAGGACTGCAACAGACACCAGTCAGAC